ATGAAAATCATGGAATGTTTTCATCAAAAACGTTCTTTTCGACTGAAAAAAGAAAGACATGGACATCTCGGATGACATGGGGGTGAGAAAACTATAAAATAAAATTTAAAATAATTACATGATAAATAATTTGCTTGTATAACTGCTTGTTATCCCTTTATACTTAAATAAACGTAGCATTATGTGTTCCCTTATACCTACACGGAGGTACATTTTAATTACAGAAACATACACCGTAAAAGTTATTTGCAGGATGTATATCGGTTTTATTGGCCAAAACCTAACCTGTTGTTCCCTTATACCTAAACGGATGTACGCTATAATTACAGAAACAATCTTCGTAACTGCGGTGTACTTATGCAGTTGTTTGCGTAAGTCTTACCATTCTCACGGCAATTCGTACTAGAGCCAGACCGATATATCGCCGATATTAGGCGTTTTCCAAAATATCGGTATCGGCAGTTATAATGGCCGATAAATGAATATTTAAAAAATAAAATAAAAAAGGACAAACCACGCTTTAATCATCTCTCCTTGGCCTGTTATATTGAAAATGTATGTTTTACAATTTGCAGTATGATGTTATCTATTGCTAAATTCTGGCTCATCATAGACTAGCTAACCACAAAGCTACGTAGCTAATGCCACTATCATCAGTGGAAGACCGCTAACGTTAACATTAATGAGCTTGGAAACAACAATGAACTTTTTCTGCCTAAATAAATTAACGATTACTGTATTTATAACTAGCATATCTCTAGTTACAGTCCCTGCATTGTAAAATGTAAGTTATACTTGCGAGGAGTGAACATAGACATAGAGAAAAAGTATCAAACGTATCTTGTGCAGAAAAGTTAGCTTTTCTTTTACACGTGTGTGAAATCCAACAATATTTAATAAAAAAAAATATCGGCCGATATATCGGAATATCGGATTTTAAAACCCAAAAATATTTGTATCGGTATCGGCCTTCAAAATCCTTTATTGGTCGGGCTCTAATTCGTACGTATACGTATTTTACGAGGTGGCTAATTCGTATGAATTCGTACGAATGTGGCCCCGCCCCTAAACCCACCTTTCACTGGGGTTTAGACCAATTGTACGAATTGGTTGGTTGCGTTTTAGTGAAGGTCACGCTGTTGGTGTGAGAAAGGAAAGTCATTCAGACTTAAAGAACTGACTGATTTGAATCGGAATCGGACTCGGTTGTTCGGTCTGTTTCGCACTATAGATGCAGTAGTGGTAGGATCGATTGGGTATTTTAGTAAAGTGTTCCATCCTTTTCAGTGAAAGTATGCACATGCAAGTGAAAGAAACACTATTTATTTCTGAATTGTATTATTAGTATTGATTGATTGATTGATTGATTTTTGCACGCTTTTTGGATGCAGTTCCCAATCCCAGAGGAAACTCATTATTTTTACAATGTGCGTTGCAACCCACAGAACCCGAATGCAAATGTGGCACGCCTGAGCGGAAGAGTGGATCCCGTGATGAAGTGGATTTTTATAGAAGGCTCTCAAAACAAATTAAGTGTGTCGTGTTAACAGACACTTGAGCAGAAACGATAACACAAGACAATCATGTTCTTTTAGACCGCAGTGCTAATGACACAAACAATATGTGTCCGTCTTCCTCGGGTTCTTGGTGAGCGAGAGACAGGGGTGGAGGCGGCGAGATGAGATCAGAGAATGTCTTTTCTTCTTCGGCGCATGTAAATGAATGAACCGGGAGGGAAGCCCCCTCCGCGTAGCCTTTGACCACAGAGGGAGACAAGCGTCTCGATTTCAAAAGCCACGAGGCCACCTGAGCAGATTAGCTGAACGCAGAGTCGCTGTGGATTAGCATGCGACCCTTTCCGGCTCAAAGACTAACAGCCCTGTCTGTGCATACTGATGGCTGAATGTCCTCCCTGAATCTTTATTAGACACCTTTGATTCTGCACTCACCTGCGCAGAATCCCAATATGCCCCGTCTGACTCGTCGCCAGGACTGTTAAAACGTTCCCTTTTTACAAGCGCCCAACAAACTACCTTGACCCGGCTAACCCCTAGACGGGGTGGATGGGGGTTAAAAGGAGGTAAATGTTTTTCCCTTTAAGCATTCCCATACTAATTCTTCTTTCACCTTGTGTATTGTGCATTTATTCAAATTTTCTCATCGAGAGAAGCCCGTAGCTCTCGAGCCGCGCGCAGCGTACTGTGTTCAAACAATGTTCAGCGTCAGGGGTCGATTTGGTGTCACCCCTGGGCTCACATTCATTTAATAGCTTTGCTATTCACCTGTGTGCTGCTTTTGCATCGGCTCAGGCTAATGCATACGAAAGCCTTGGAAGTGACAGGGCTAGAATATCACTCTTGTGACTTAAGGCATAAAATAAAGACATGCTTTAAATGAGCTGTCTGATTTAATTGAAAAATGAACATGTAATGGGATTGTCAGTACATGTTGAACGTAGTTCACTTTAAAACTTTTAATGATAACTTTTATCATTAAACTTTAATGAAAAACTTTTGCTGATAATTTACTCACCCCCATGTCATCCAAGATGTCCACGTCTTTCTTTCTTCAGTCGAAAAGAAATTAAGAATTAAGGATTTTCTCCATATAATGGATTTCAGTGGGGAACCAAACGGTTCAAGGTCCAAATGAGAGTTTCAGTGCAAACTGTTCAAAGGGCTTTAAACGATTCCAGACGATGAATAAAGGTCTTATCTTGTTCATTTTGACAACAAGGTGAGCATTTGTGTTTATAAAACTTAAACTTTTTTTATTTATTTTTGAAATGAGTGATCGTTTCGCTTGATAAGACCCTTATTCATTGGCTGGAATCGTTTAAAGCCCTTTGAACAGTTTGCACTGAAACTGACGTTTGAACCTTGAACCGTTTGGTTCCCATTGAAGTCCATTATATGGAGAAAAATGCTGGAATGTTTTCATCAAAAACCTTAATTTCTTTTCGACTGAAGAAAGAAAGACATGGACATCTTGGATGACATGAGGGTGAGTAAATTATCAGCAAACGTTTTTTTTTTTTTTTTTAAAGTGAACTACTCCATTAAGCTCAATCGACAAAATAGTGGCATTGATTACACCAAAAAACAAACAAAAAAATGTATCCATGCCCTAACCCTAACCCTAACAAAACAAAAAATAAAGATATGCAGTTAAAATGGAATTGAATGCACTCTAAACGACGTTGGGTTGTTTTAACCAACCAGACCACACTAAATACGTCTTTGTAACATGCATGTGTATTGTCGTGCAATTTATACACTAAAGTGAGTTTTTACGTGTGTATGATACGCATTGGTTGGTTAGTATAGGTTTAGGTGTGGGGTCTGTGTGTATTATATGTTTGAGTAGAATTGGTGGTGTGGGGTGGGTGTGAACTGCGTATCAAATGCACGTGAAAAACAGCGTCTCATGTGTACGTAAAAACTCATTTCCGCGTATAAATTACACGACAATACACGATGTGTGTTACAGAGACATATTTGGCTGTTTAACCCAAATTTGGGTCAAATATGGACAAACCCAAATGTAATTAAAAATGTGAACCCCAAAACATCAACTTTCACTTTCAAATGTAATTTTTTTAATTACATTTTTAACCCAACATTTGGGTTTGTCCATATTTGGGTTGAAACAACCCAGCATTTTTAAGAGTGTGGTGATAGTTTTTGGATGATTTAATTGCTTAAACATAGGCTTACACAACATCATTTTCAACTAAAAACATAAAAAATGTAACACGTTTTGGCCGTTCGTAGACACGATGATGCCGTTTTGGGTGCCTGAAAACGCAAACTTTTGAAAAACGGATTTCAAAGTGCAAGTTTTTGAAAACGGTCTCCGCGTAAAACAACAAAACCGCGAATCTCTGAAGATCTCTATAGTGTTTCAATCGCCATCTCATGGCCTGGCAGCAGAATGCAGCATTTTTAGTGTTTTTAGTGGATCCTGGATTTCTGTATGCGGAAAACTCAAAGGAAAAACATGTAAACGTACGTTATCTCTGTGAAACAGTCTTTGAAAATTAAATTAATACTTACTAAACATATTATTTCAGCTGTAAAACTATTTAAATTTTATTTGTTTCCTTAATATATTTTCTACAGTTTCAAGGTTTAAAATTGCACGTCATTTTATCCAAAAATAAGTCAAATTTTAAATATTTGGCCAAGTATGCGTGTGAATTACCCCATTCACTTCCATTGTAACCCTTATGAAAAAGAAGTTTATTCAAGTGTGCCATTAGTATACTTCTTTTAAACTAAAAATAAGAAAGTATACTTTTAGTTTATTTTTATATGTACTTCTCCAAAAATATACTTCAAATTACACTTAAGTGTACTTGACTTATACTGAGAGAAAAGCAAGTATATTTGTCCTGTTCTTGTACTCAATCTTTTGATCCAGAAATACTTAAACGTATAATTAAGTATTCAAAGTACTTGTATAAGAATAACAGTTAAAAATTAAACTACTAGTATACCCATAAATTCACTTGCAGTACACATGAGATACTTATGAACTAGTTGTGCACTTACTGTTACACTTATAGTACACTTAAACATACTTTTATGTACTAAAAGTGGGCCTATTTAGTCCCAAGCGATATTAAAATAGTACACTTACAAGTTTACTACTAGTACATAGTGACATTAGTATACTTACTACATAATGTATACTTAAAAATATACTTGAACATTACTTAAGTATACTACATAAAATGAACTTGAAATATACTTCTTTTTCGTATCACTATAAACTAAAGAAATGAGGAACGAGTAGGAATGAATGTTTGTATTAACCAACATTTGGCATAAATACATTCGAATAACAGGAACTGAATATCATGCAAACAGATTGTGGGTTTTTGTTGAGTCAAGCAGTCGTTCAAACAGAGGTGTGTGTTCACTTGCTTACACACATGGCTGGTGTGGGCAGCTCAGGCCAAACAGGGCTGATTTATGGAGAAAGGTGAGGGGTCTTACCATTACACCCAGACAGTCAGGCGGGTGAAGAGCCTGACAGGAGGAAACTGGATCCAAGTAGTAACTCATCCTAGAGCTGGATCTGCAGTGATGGAGGCCTGCGGACAAGACACACACATGAGCACACGAGAGGGCACAGACCTCAATCCATCAGACACTGTTTATCCAAGAGACAAGCCTCCGCCAGGCGTGCGCTTAACCTGGATCAGTAATAACCTGCCACTCAAACATATAAACGACACGAGGTGACCCGAACGCAGCAGAAGGGCGGGAACTGATGGCGAAGAAGCGATAGAGCGTTAATCTATTGCAATGTTATGTTGCTTAATCAACTGGACTGGGTGGTGATCAGATGAATCAAAGCAGAGTCATCATACGTTTTATATTTATATGACTGCAGAAGGAAACACTGAGTGATTGTGCAATTGTTCAGTTAAAAGTTTGTGTTTACATAATATATGTGGCTGTACTGTGTATAATTATTTTATATATAAATATATATATATATATACACACACATGCACGTATATTTAAGAAAAAAATACATAATTTATATATAAAATATACAGTATACATGAAAATATTTCTTAAATATATACAAGCAAGTATATATATACATACACTCTAAAAAATGCTGGGTTGTTTTAACCCAATTTTGGGTCATATATGGACAAACCCGAAATGTTGGGTTAAAAATGTAATGTAAAAATTTAACCCAACGGCTGGGTTAGTCCATATTTGACCCAAAGTTGGGTTAAAACAACCCAGCATTTTTTAGAGTGTATATATATATATATATAATAAACACAAACTTTTATTTTGGATACGATTAATTGCGATTAATCGTTTGAAAACCCTAATTTAAATATAGTACTATAACCTAACCCTAACAGAAAACATTATTGTATACTCACCTGTAGGACACACCTGTAATCTGTTTTAGTTTACTCTAAAAAAAGAAATTGGACATCAGACAAATATCAGACAAAATAAAAAAAATATATAATCTTAATTTTAACGGTAAAAAATGCTACAGTGCAAAACTGTTAACAGAAAGTTTCCGTACTTTATACGGTAAAGAACTGTAATAGATCCCTCATGGTACATTTAATGTAATTTTACTGTAAAATACCACTAAATTTAGTTTTTGAAAGTGAAAAAGAACAACTCATTGTATACTGTAATTTACAGTGAAAAAACACAATTCCCTGTGTGACACTTCACATTTCATGAATTTGTTGTTGAAATAACTATGGTTCCTCATAATTTTCTTCTTTTTTTTGTACATTAGGGTTTTATGTTACATTTAATGTTGTTAAATTAATGTTTATTGCATGTTACCATGATGTTTGTGTGAATGATACTGTGCAGCTACTGTATATGTATTAACCTTCTTGTGGAAGAACTGCTAATGATGAACTATTAATGTAGATCTCATAACTGCAGTAATGATTGTTGGTTGTCAGTGTATTACAACGGTACAAAACAGAAATCAAGACTTTAATGGACTGGTTAATTAACATTTTATCAGATAATAAAATACGGTTAATTACTGTAAAAAGTTAAGTCTGTAAAACCAATAACGCTGCTACTGTATTTTTTGACGGTAAAGTGCTGGTAACCACAGCTGCCGTTTTTTACCGTAAAAATTGCGGTTTGACTTTTTACAGAGTAGCCTAAATATTAATTTTGAAAACAGAATAGATCTAGTTCATCGCCAAGAAGGTTATCAGCTGAAAATATTAAAACAGCCAGATATGGAAGGATTAATTTTCAATATATAGTAATAAATAATAATAATAACATCTAGTGTTGCCAGCACTTTTAATGGAAAGTAGCTGCTCAAAAAATTGTCAAATGTCAGTAGATGCACTAACTCTGCACTTTACATTTGTTTTCTCTCCTAATCTATGCTCACATACTGTATTTTACTCTAATATAGGGTATATCATCATTTACATATTTTCTCTCAGACAACAGGAGTATGATATAGTGATCTGACTACAGATCAGTCAAAAAAGTCGCTTTTTTAGCATGGCAAAGTCACTAAATTGTATAGCAATGCTAAAGATTGACCTCTTCAGTGACAGTCCAGTGCCTGTTGTGTGTCTCTTGTTCCCCCGCCCCTCTCATGCTGTCAGTGTCCTCTGACGGCCACCGCTTTACACTGTTTTACTGGAGTAACTGGGCATTAGCAGGAGCTGGAGCCCAGCTGTGAGGGTTCAGTTTCTGGAGGCAGTTCATGATGCACACATGGACAAGCTGGCCAACAACTGAAGATTCACCTCAAACAGCAGTGTGTGTGTGTGTGTGTGTGTGTGTGTGTAAGAGAGAGAGTGAACATCTTGAAGTGCTTAGAGAGTGTGGCAACTGATGTGACTCTCAGTCAAAGGTTGAGTTGACAGTCACAGATTGATCTTCCCGAGGTCACCACAACAGTCTCTTATTTAATATCACTATTCAAAACAGCAAACATAGAACAGAATCTAACTTTAGTTTTTAATATTGCATGTGCTTTTCTGCGTTAGTAGCCTACAAACTATGTAAATTCATGTGATTTTAAGAACATACAGAAAACATCTTCCCTTTTTCTTCACACAGTTTACAAAGACAAACATTAAACTTTAAACGTCACATTAGAAGTGATAAAGTTGTAAAACGTAAAATAAAAACTTTTCTCAGATTAAAAGACTGTTATTGTTATCAAAACGTCACTTTCAGATTTCCCACAGTGTGAGTTTTGAGCTTTGAGAAGAACGGCGGGATTTATCCTGATCCAAAACGCAAGTTGAGAGCGAAGCGCACGAGTGTTTTACGCGCGCAGAAACTGTACTTAAAACCCATTAGACAACAACAAAACACCAGTAGAGGAATTAAGCAGACTTTAGTCTTACCGTTATTCGTTGGATTCGCTGAAGGCTGTCTGCGGTGGGCTGTCAGATCGGTGTGTACCTGGCTCGTGTTTGGAGAGGAAGGATAAAGCGCACTTGCTGGAGTCCCACCCTCTCCAATCACTGTCTGCGCTCCTATCCAAAACATGCAGGACTTCACCACATCAAACAAGTGTCCAGCGATTGATGTGAGGAGCAAGACTGTAGAAGGGAACAATGCTTATGGGAGTATTGACTTGAGATTTTTTTTTTTTTTTTTTTTTTGTCAAAATTGTCATATTCAGATTCACAAAAATAAAAGACATTAATGAATGTTTTAAGTGATATTTTTAGTCAACTGCCTAAAAAGTGTAAAAACTGCAAAAAAATAAAAAAAAATAAAAAAAATATTGTTGGTTTAACTTAAAAAATAAGTAACCTGGTTGCCTTAAAATTTTAAGTTCATTGAAATGGGAAAAAAAATGAGTTAATACAATGAAGATTAATTTAATCACCAGAAACTCAAAATATTATGTTATCTGAACTATATAAATTATCTAAGTTGATTTGACAAAAGAAAAAATGTTATGATTACAAATCATGAAAATATTTTTTTATATAGTTATAAAAATATATATAGTTTCAAACTTTCCTTGTAAATTTGTCAAGTTCATATGTAATTATGTCAGTGTTTTTGTATGTCTTCGAGTCTTAGTAAAATAATAATAAGGACTACATATTTTATTACACTCTAAAAATGCTGGGTATTTTTAACCCAATGTTTGGGTTTGTCCATATTTGACCCAAAATTGGGTTAAAACAACCCAGCATTTTTTACAGTAGTAAATATATATATTACTATATATACTTTGGGTCAAATATGGACAAACCCAAATGTTGTGTTAAAATATAATGTATATACAAATTTATGAGCTGGGGTTGTCCATATTTGACCCAAAGTTGGGTTGAAACAACCCAGCATTTTTAGAGTGTACAATACAGTTTGTGTATATATATATATATATATATATATATATACTCAAAAAAGTACTATTTATTAACTATTTATGTATAGAGTAATGGCTGACGTGCAACTACATCACCTTAAAAATAAATTTGCAAAAGTCCTAATATTTTTCTACAAGATACTTTTGACAAAGTGTAGAAACATCTTTAGTCACATTTTACTTGTATGACAACATTACATTGCTTTAATTCATCAAAATGAGTAAATTTAAGCTATCCAAGACTCACCAAAGTCAGTTTAATGTAATTTAAGTTAAAATTACAAACAAACGATTTAAAAGCAGCAGCTGTTTATGTTTTACACACATGATTTGAGCTGTTAGTGTATTCATTAGTTATTCACACAAGCTCTTCCCGGGCTTGACGGCGTAACAAAGGTTCAAGAGGAAGCGGAGCGAATGACTCGTCCCAGTTCGTGCGCCAGTGCCTGCGCTGATCTGGGGACGGTGTGGAGGAATATGTCCATATAGAGAGGAAAGGGAAGAGAGAGACGGCCGGGGGTCACAATGAGTGGATTTCCTCCGGTCACGTCCGTCCAGCAGGTTGAGAGGCAGGGAGAGGTTTAGGGAGCGGTTTTGTTTGGACACACTGTCCAAGGTCCCTCTTTATGCTGCTGGTGGGAGGAAGCCAGTTCAGGCCCGAGCGATGAAGTGCTGCTGAGTGAGGATGACTTTTGGATAGGAGAAAAGAGGCTATTTATCGTGCCTGGTTCCTAAATACAGCTGCATTGCTTTGACCAGATGAACAAAAAAAAAAAAAAAAATGATGAGGCCTGGGTGGCCGTGACCTGTGTGTGTTTGTGTATATACATGTGTGTATTGGAGAAAGACTCCACCTGTGTGTGACAGAATACAGAAAGCGTGGATTGTCCTCTTTATGATCTGATGTGGCCTTGTTTGAAACAACAGCATATTTACTCAGAAGTGACAGTTGTGTAATCACATCTGTGTGTTTGTTATGTGCACGAGTTATTTTGGCATCAGTGAGGTACTATTACAGTCCTATTAATAGCTTTGAATTTTCTTTTTTGATTAAGTTTCAGTCATTTTTATTTTGTGATTTATGTCCCTTTTTTGTCTTCATGGTTTTTATTAACTTTTAACTTTTCAATTTGAGTTTTACTTCACTAGTTCGTCGAGACAGTTTGAAAGTTTTATAAGCTTCTTAAAATATTATACTGCAAGGTTAGTTTGTGTCTGGCATTATTTAGCTACCATGTTTTAGTATGTGATTAAGCATGTTGTGAACACATTGTTATGTTTTAGCATGTTGCTAGCATGAATTAGTGTGTTGCGAGCATGTTTTAGCATGTTGCTGTATGTTGTTAGCATGTTTTACCATGATTTAGTATGTTGCTAACATGTTTTAACACTTTTCTGGCATAATTTAGAATGTTGCTAGCATTATTTAGCGTGTTGCTAGCATGTTTTAACATATTGACATGTTTAAGCATGATGCTAGCATGTCTTACCATGATTTAGAATGTTGCTAACATGTTTTAACGCTTTGCTAGCATGATTTAACTTTTTGCTAACATGTTTTAACACATTGATATGTTTTAGCATGTTGCATGATTTAATATGTTGCTAACATGATTTACCATTATTTAGTGTGTTGCTAACATGTTTAACACTTTGCTAGCATGATTTAGAATGTTGTTAGCGTGATTTAGCATGTTGCTAGCATGTTTTAACACATTGATGTTTTAGCAATGTTGCTAACATGTTTTACCATGATTTAGTATGTTGCTAGCATGTTTTAGTATGTTGCTTGCATGTTTTACCATGATTAATTATGTTGTTTGTTTTACCATTATTTACCCAGACAGCAAACTGACATTGAATCAACGTGGAAACGACGTCTCTCATGACATTGAAACAACGTTGATTTTGCTCATCGAATTAACGTTGAACCAACGTCAGACGCGGCATTCTTCAAAGCTAAATAAAAATCGAAAATTGGTTTGCTTTCATAACGTTGAAACAACGCGTTGATTTCAAGTTGATTTTCCGTTAGTTTTGAAAGAATGACGCATCTGACGTTGGTTCAACGTTAATTCGATGAGCAAAACAATGTCAGATCACGTTGTTTCTATGTCATATTTCCACGTTGATTCAATGTCAGTTTGCTATCTGGGTAGTATGTTGCTAACATGTTTTACCATGATTTAGTATGTTGCTAACATGATTTACCATGATTTAGTATGTTGCTAACATGTTTTGACACTTTGCTAGCATGATTTAGAAAGTTGCTAGCTTGATTTGGCATGTTGCTAGCATGTCCAAAGCTAGTTTCTAGGCTCTGCTAGAGATAGATACTTGGTGGATGAAGCTTAAATACTCAATTGGAGTTAATGTGTAAAAGTTTTCTGATTTTTGGTAGTTTTGCTCAGCTGTTTAGATCTGATCAGTTTGAAAAGTCTGACAGAACTGCCCGAGTTTGTTGGTTAGCTTGAAAGCTAGGAGGAGATACAGACTAAATGTAGGGGTTATTTACACAATACCAAGCGTAAAACATTTTGTGCCATTAATTTATTCGACAACAGTTTTAACAGGGCCTTAAAACGCTAACTTTCGAAAGTAGGTTTATAAAGAGCAAGTTTTTGAAAACTATAACATCATCATCTCCATGTTAATAACAAACATAGAAATTAGTGATGTCATACACATGTGTCAGGTTCAGTCTATAGTCTACAGTAGTGTTTCTTTATAAAGTGACATCGCCATCTACTGGCCTGGAAGCAGAACGCACCGAATTTTAGTCGTTTTCGCAGATTTATGATAACATTGTTATCTGTACACGAAAAATTTAAAAGTTTTCAGTTTTTAGAACAGCATTGTTGTATAATGACCCTTTGTCTCAGAAAAAGAAGAAGAAAAAGAGGAGGGATGTGCTTAAATAAGATTTTAGTATGTTGTCTTAATAAAACAATAGCTAAGATTTTTTGATACTTTGTTGACATTAAAAAAAGTGTTTGTTTTTTGTTAACTGTAACCCTGGTGAATACACAGCATTATTTCAATAAAATCATTTTCCAGACAATTTTTTTTTTTCCCGCCAGCTAACTCCAGCAGCCCACGAGAGTGCTGAGTTTCTATCAGCGGGCCGTTCGCATCTCGTCTGAAACACCTTGCAGATGAGTGATAAGACCTCCACGGCTGCCCCACGCGCTCATTTGTTTGAATTAGAAAGTGCGTGGTCAAAGATCTTCCTTGAAAGTAAATCTGGAGGTGCTTTCAAGTCCAAGGTGAGAAGCGTGAAGGAGTGGCAAGTCTCGGGGGGGAATCGCTCTGAAGCTGCGGGGGCATAGCAATCCCAGAGGGCTGAGGCCGGGGCGACACGTCAGGGGCAAAAGGGTAGATGCGTGACTGATGGCCATGTGCTGAGAGACAGGAGAATAGATGCACCCCTTCTGATGAGCCAAATTGAATAAAAGGCAGTGAATGTGATCCAGATCTTCCTCATGTGCCCACAATACTGTTTCAATTAACATGATGAGTGCTTCAAAAGATCCAGCTCTCCAAGACTGACGCCTTCTTATCACTCCATACCTTTCATCCAGCCTCCACTTTCCCCCTCCGCACTCCCTCCTCTGTTTGGGGGACGCTTTTGTTATATTTAAAGGACATTTGTTATAGTTTAACTAGTTTGTGTTTACAAAAGTTACAAAAATTTCAGATTTTTTTTTTATTCAAATTAATATTTTTCTGTATTGTTATCATTTTTATTTTTTATTTAAAGTTAATTGACTGCTAGCTTCAAGCAAAAATGTTTTTTCAAGCTTTTAAGTAATCAGATTTCACAAATTTAAATCCGATGGATGGATGGATGTAGATAGAGGAATGGATGGATGGATGGACGGATGTAGATACAGAGGAATGGATGGATGGATGGATGGATGGATGGATGGATGGATGGATGGATGGACGGACGGACGGACGGATGGATGGGTGGATGGATGAAAGGAGGGGTAGATAGAGAGAGAGAGAGAGAGATGGATGGATGTAGATAGAGGAATGGATGGATGGATGTAGATAAAGGAATGGATGGATGGATAGATGGATGGATGTAGATAGATGGATGGATGGATGTAGGGATGGATAGATGGATGGAAGGATGGATGGATGTAGATGGATGAATGGATGGATGGATGGATGGATGGATGTAGATAGAGGAATGGA